CTGTGTTCATTTATTTTTCTTGTTACAAAACATTTTTGGGGGGCTGGAGTGATAGTACAATGGGTAGGGCATTTGCCTTGCAATCGAACCCAGCCAACCCGGGTTCGATTCCCAGCATCCCATATGGTTCCCTGAGCACTGCCAGGAGTGTGATTCCTGAGTGCAGAACCAGGGGTACCCTCTGAGCATCACCGGGTGTGACCCAAAAAGCAAAAAAAAAAAAAAAACATTTTTGGTAAAGAGGTGAGGGACGGAGCTCAGTGGTAGAGAGTCAACTTCGTATATATGAGGCCTTACGTATCAATCCCAGGGACTGTCACCCGTGGCTATTTGGGATCTCCAGTCTTACAACGAAACATGTGAGGCTGGAGCAATAGTATAGCGAGTAGGGTATTTGCTTGCGCACAGCTGACCAGGTTCAAGATGGTCTGAGTGATCCCTGAGTCCAGAGCCTGGAGAAAGCCCTGAGCACTGCCAGGTTTGGGCCTCAAACAAAAACACAATAAAAAGCATATGTGTATATTTATTTTAAATGCCATACATGTACCAAGTAATCCATTGTACACATATTTGGGGGGCAGGGGTGTCTCCCAAGCAATATACAGGAGGCCTGGATGCCCTCTCAGTAATTCTTGGCCAATGCAAGGGCCCAAGGAAGCATTGGTACAGGGACAGCTGTGGTGATGCAGAGTCCTCCCAGGCTGAATCCAACTATGTGATGTTTAAGGATGCTCTAGGGAACATCTATCTGATGTGCTATACTATCTTTCCAGTTCCTGTTGCTTTCCCCCCTTCTTTTCATACCCAAGCTTTCTCAGGTGGTTTAGAAGTGGGGAGTTGTGTCTGGCAGTGCCTGAAAGGAATCAGTCATGAAGGACTCAAACCCAGGACCTCACACATGCAAGGCAAATACATTTGGTTTTGGGCTCTCCCCAGCAGTGATTAAGGGCTAATTCCCAGTGTAGTGTGGTGCCTGGGATCAATCCCAGGGCTCCTTCCTGCACATGCTCCGGTTCTCCAATTCTGCATTGCATACTTATATATCCTATAATTTGGGGTTCAGAAAGATAGTGCAGCCGGTAGGATGCTTGCTTACCTTGCCTTTGGCCTACCTGAATTCAATCCACTGTATGATACAAGGTCCCTGAGACCTGCCAGGAATGATTCCTGAGCACAGAACCAGAATAAGCCATAAGGACCTCTGGATGGGGTTGAAAAACAAACATAATTCTCCCCATCCAAAAACTTTCTGCATAAAAATCTCTAGAGCAATATTACAATGGATAGGACATTTGCCTTGCATGTGTCAACACGGATTCAATCTACAGCATCCCATATGGTTCCTTGAGCACCACCAGGGAGTAATTTCTGGGAGCAGAGCCAGGAGTAATCCCTGAGCATTGCTGTGTGTGACCACCCCCCACCCCGCAATCTCTAAATGACTCCTCATCATTCTTAGATTCAGGTTCTAAACCTGGCCCACCAGAGTCCTAAGATCCCCAGCCTGGTTGGATCCCATCACTTCCCCCCTTTCTGAGTTGTGGCCACACTGATGGTACAGTAGGGCAGACAGCGCCCACCACCACTGTTCATGTTCTTAGACTACAGGCCACAAAGTCAAAACGCTTTTTAATTTTTTGGGGGGGTCACACCCAGCAATGCTCAGGGGTTCCTCCTGGCTCTGCACTCAGGAATTACTCCTGGCGGTGTTCAGGAGACCATATGAGATGCTGGAAATCGAACCCGGGTCAACTGCGTGCAAGGCAAATGCCCTACCCGCTATACTATCGCTCCAGGCCCTCATGCAGCCTTTGATCTGTTTGGACATTTTCTCCATCCTTGACCTCTATGTAAAGGTCAGCTTTCCTTGTTAAGCTTGATACCACCCCATATCTTTTATTTTCAGTGCATTCTCGATTTGCAATAATGTATTTGTGGGACTAGAATTTGAGCCTAATTGAAACTGTTAGGTTGCATTATCATTGTTGGCTGATTTGGCTTGCCCTTCAAGCCTGTGTTCACCCTTGAACCCAGATCTTGCTTGCTTGTATCTGCTTTATCCACTCTGGAGAAGCCCATGCTCTCTCTCAAACATGAACTTCCTCTTTCTCTCCCCTCACATCCCTCTTTGTGAGCTTCAGTAAAAACTCTCTTGCTTCACTTAAAAGAAAAAAACTTTTTAAAAGGAGGTGGAGGGGCTGGAGCGATAGCACAGTGGGTAGGGCATTTGCCTTAAACACGGCCAACTCAGGTTCGATTCCCAGCATTCCACATGGTCCCCCGAGCGCTGTCAGGAGTAATTCCTGAGTGCTCGAGCCAGAGGTAATACCTGTGCATCACTGGGTGTGACCCAAAAAGCAAAAAAAAAAAAAAAAAGGAAGTGGAGCTGGCTTTTGGGCTACACCCAGCTGGAACTCAGGGTTTATTCCTTGTGCTCAGGAATCACTTTTGGTGGGGCTCAGGGTGGCAGTGGGGTGGGGGTCTTGGGGGAGCTGTATATAGTGCCTGAGATGGTATCTGGGTTGTTGACCATGTGCAAGGCAAGTGCTTTAACCCTTGTGCTATCTGACCAGCCCAAGAGTTGGTGCTTAACATAAATGCATTTAATGAATGGGTGGGACAGAGGTATCAGACTGGAGCATTAGCACAAAATCAGGCCTCTTATGTAACACTAACAAGCTGTGTGTCTCCTTTTGGCTTTTTCCCAGTCCTGTCTTCCTGTGATTCTTTCACTAGCCTGGAGTGGTTGTTAATTTCTGGGTCCAAGTTTTAGCACAGTCTGTTTCGAATGCTTGGGTTTTTTCAATTTTCTTGTTTGTTTTTGGACCACACCTGGTGGTGCTCAGGGTGTACTCCTGGCTCTGTGCGCAGGTATCATTCCTGGTGGATTCAGGGGACCATATGGGGTGCTGAAGATCAAAGCCAGGTCGGCGTGTACCTGCTGGTGCCTTACCTGCTGCATTATTACTCCTGCTCCCCCTTCTCCTAATTCCATTGTAGGTTTTGATCAAGACATCATGTCTTTTAAGAAATCTCCCTAGACAGTTCTCTGTCTGGACTATTTTTCATATTTCTGAATAAGGCTGGAGAGATAGCTCACAGGCTGGAATTCAAGCTCATAGGCTTTGGAGTGCAAGCTTTTTGTGCAGAAAGCCTGGGTTTGATCCCTGATACTGCATGGTCCCCCAACTCTATAGTCAGGAGTTGCTCCACAGGGTACAGTCCCCAGATCAGATCAAACCAAACCAAACTCCAAAGTTCCACCCAAAACAAAACCCGTCTTTTTTTTTTTTGCTTTTTGGGTCACACCCAGCAATGCACAGGGGTTACTCCTGGCTCTGCACTCAGGAATTATTCCTGGTGGTGCTCAGGGAACCATATGGGATACCAGGGAACGAACCCGGGGCGACCGCATGCAAGGCAAACTCCCTACCTGTTGTACTATAAGCTCCAGCCCTGCTTAGCAGTCTTTTTAAAAAGGTATCTGAGTGGCTGGAACTATAGAACAGCTGGTGGAGTCTTGCATACAGCAGACCCAGGGTTCAACCCCTGCATCCCATATGGTCCCTGGAGCACAGCCAGGAGTAACCCCTGAGCATCCCTGTGTGTGGACGTCCCCAAGCAAGTCTGGTTGTTCCTTCTAAGTATGTCTTGTCAAGTGCATTGCCTAGTTCCCAGGTAGAGGAATAACTTTGCACAGAGTCTGGCACTAAGGACCTGTGGTATTTGCTAAAAGCTGAATGTATGTCAGCAAGCCTCCGGGAGCCCATCAACAGCGAGGAATTGTAATTCAGGGGCCTCCAGATCAGGAGAGGAAGCTGGGTGAGGTTTGTTCCATTCTGGCCCAAGGCTCTATCCCCAGACGGCCAGGCAGGAGGCCCTGGAGCAGATCCTGTGGGGGATGGGCAGGGAAGCAGTTTCTTCCTCTGCTCCCTCCAGGAGAGTCGAGAGAGGGAGGGGCAGAGAGAGGGAAGATTCCTTCCAAGGAGGCTCCGTGGCACGGAGCCCGCCGAGGGCCGAGGGAAGGGGGCGGGGAGTGCAATGAATGCCGGCTTTCTCCCAGCCTCTGGCCGCCAGCCCCGAGGGAGGGAAACAGACTGGAGAAGGGAGAAAAAAAGATGACGGGGAGGAAAGGAGGCGGGGAGGCTCTGTGCGCCTCGGGAGACCGGAAGGAGCAAGACTGAGCTAGTTCCAGGCTCCCTAGCGCCCACCAGACTACATACCCCAGAGATCACTTATTGGAAGCTGATCACAGCAAGTTACAGGGGCACAGAAACATTACTTGGGCAACTTGGGGTTCCTTGGATTGGACCAGCTTTTAGCTGAAAACCCTTCGAGTGGTTACTGATTCCGGGTTCTCTAGGGCTAACCTGTCAGGGTAACTCTTAGAAGAGGCCAGGATCCTCCTTTCCCATCAGCACTCAACTGCTGGAAGAGGTCAGGATTTTGAAAGTCCCGGAATGTTTTACATCCGGTCTGCGGGACTTCAACTTACTCTAAGATGTCCCCGTCTCCCTCTTAGCACTCACCACTCACAACGGATCACCCTCAGAACTGCTTGGGATGCTCGGTAAAAATGTTTTCACTTACTCCAGCAATGCTGATTCCTTGGAGGTGAGTCTGAGTTTGAACAGTGTGCTAAGTGGCTGTGACACCCAGGGTTCAGGAAACAACTCCAGAGGGCCTGGCACCACACAGTAAGTGCTAAGTGTTGCCAGCAGGGGCTGGAACTGTATTTGCAGGGTAAACAAATGGTGTGTTGGAAGTATGGATTGAGCTAGGGCCTGTGAAGCGCGCAGTTAACACTTTGGAAGGAAATAGGGCAGCAGTGTTAGCAATACAAAAGATAAATATTTATTCGGAACAAAACTTTTAACAATCGATTTTACATTCTAAGCCACAAGGAAATAGCAAAATATTTAAGCAAAAAAAAAAAAACAGTAACCAAAAGAAAAGCAGTGAGCACCACTGGCTTTTCTATTTGAAAACACACAGTTGACCCGATACCCTCTTGCTTGGCCTGTTTCGCACCAAGAACATTTTAGTCACCAGCTCAGCTCCAATTCTGGGTTAGAAATGCCTTTCTCTAGAGACTCTGGAGGCTGCAGAGGAGTCCCATTTAGTAGCTTCTCTGGGATTTCCAGCTGCGAGGCTAAGGCTCAAATAAATGTAAACCTTTGGTAGGTATTTTTACTAAAGGGCACCTCCCCTCTCACCAAGAACAATTAACAGGAAAGGGTAAGGCACCGAAGGTCCTGATACACGCTAATCCAGAAATGGTACCCCAGGCAGCAATGGGTGCACCCTGGATCAAATTCCTTGGTTCCTTCCCTGGTTCCTGAATATTCAGAAACCCTAGTTCACTAAACTTCCTCCTGCAAGTTCTTCCCCTCCAGACGATTCCTTCGCACCCCTCTGGGCTCCATTATCTAAAGCGATCAGACTTGCTGGGCCTGCAAGCATTGAGGAAAATGTTGTGAAGTGTGAGAGGTAGTGGGATGAGCACCAACTTTGGGGTCAGGGAACTCTGGGCTAGATCTGGCACCAAACAGCTATGCCATGGGGACCCAGGCACTTAACCACTCCAGGCCTGTTTCCTCCATTAGAAAATGGGGGTTGGCCTAGACTTTAAAATTTAAAAAATCTTGTATTTTTTGCTGCTTTCCAGCAAGTAATGTCAAGCTTCCATGATTATATGAAAAACGGCTCCTGGGCCACCGAAAGGGAGCTGTCACAAATCCACTAATTTTTATGCCATTAAGCGAGGCCCCTTGGCCACCATTCTGAGCTTATTGGTTCAGATTATAATACACTTCTAACAACACTGGGTTCACAAACTCTCAGACCACATGTTAGAAGCAGCAAATTAACAGGGGAGGGGAAAGAGCTGCGAAAGGTGGCCACTCGCACCAAAGTGAGTGGACACCGGGCTCAATTCAACAAACTGGCGGGAAGCCGACCAGCTGCCAGCTCCCAGGATCAAGCGCTGGGCTCTAGGAGCAAGGCGGCCCCGAAGGTGAAAATCCTGGGAGAAAACAAGTTATGGGAAGTAAAAAAAAAAAAGTACCAAAAGAGGTAATAAACAAAGCACACCAAAATACAAAAACAAAATCAAAAAACGGGGCTAGGAGGGGGCACTATCTGTACACTACAGTTCTCAATCGCCCTTACGAAAGGCTGAAACGGAGTCAACTCGGTTTGAGGCAGTCACGTCCCTTCCAGGTTTAGAAAAGAGCTCCTTCCAAAACCGACTTGGACAAACACGGTTTAAGTAAAAAAAAAAAAGGAAAAAAAAAGTTTTGGCACTTAAGCGAGGGCTGGGGGGTGGCGAAGCGGCTTGCGCGTTCACCGGGGGGCAAGGCAAGGCAGGCGTCCGGGTGCTCAGTGCCCGGCCACGCCGCTGAGCTGGGCGGCCACGGCATTGTGAACTGCCTTGGGACACTGGGCGAAGGCGTGTCCCCGCTTGCCACAGAGGTTGCACACGATGCCCTTGCGGCAGTAAGGGCTCAGGTGCCCCTCCTCCCCGCACCTGAAGCAGCGGTCCTGCGTGCAAGTGCCGCTCATGTGGGTGCGCGAGCCGCACTTGAAGCACGTCTTGGGCTGCCCCTTGTACCAGCTGTAGCCCCTCTCGGCCCCCAGGAAGAAGGCCCCCGGCAGGTGGCGGACCCCGCCCTCCCCCTGGCGCAGCTCGATCTCGCACTTGTACTCCCCGGTCCAGATGCCAAACCTGTCGGTCACTTTCACCGGCACGGCCAGCACGTCGCAGTGGCGCTTGAGCCAGGTCACGATGTCCTCCACGTCCACCGTCTCGTTGCGGAAGAGGATGAAGAGGGTCTTCAGGCTGGCCTTGCTCCGCCCCAGCACCACGAAGTTCTCCCAGCAGTCCTCGTGCTCGCGCTTCTCCTCGTAGCCGCGCAGGAACCGGGCCAGCTTGTCGGCCGAGCGGAAACTCACGTCGAACTCGCGGCTGCCGGGGATCTGGATGACGGCGTAGATGTCGCCGGGCTCCATGCCGATGGAACGCAGGATGAGCGCGCCCACCACGAAGTCCCGGGTCGGGCAGGCGCCCTCGTCTCCCTGGAAACAGATGCGCACGAGGAAGCGGCCCTTGCCGGGGCCCGCCGCGGGGCCGGCCGCCGCCGCCGCCGCCGCCGTCGGCTCGTCCTCGGGGCCGCCGCGCTGCTGCTGCTGCTGCTCCGCCGCCGCCGCCTCCTCGGCCGTCGCGCCGGGCCTGGCCGGGGCCGCCACCGCGGCCACCGCCGCCGCCTCGGCTTTCTTCCGCTTGCCCGAGCTCTCGGCCACGCTCTTCTTCAGGCGGGCGTCCGCCGCCTCGCCGCCGGCCGGCTCTCTCCGGCGGCCCGTCGGGTCGGCGCGGCCGGCCGGGGGGAAGTCGCCCCCGAGCGCTGCTGCTGGCAGCGCCGCCGCCGCCGCCAGGCCCGCGCCGCCGCCGCCGCCGCCGTCCTCCTCCCGCCGCGCGGGGCGCGACTCGCGAAAGTCGCCCTTCTTCTCGGCCAGGTTCTTCACCACCTGCGCCCAGCCCATCTTCTCGCGGCCGCCCTCGGCCTCGTCGCCGCGGGCCGGGGGGCGCGCGGCGGCCGCGGCGGGCAGCAGTGGCGGCCGCCCCCGCTTCCTCTCCTCCTCCGCGCCGCCGCCGGTGGCCATTTTACCTCCTTCCCAGCATCCTCCTCTCGCGCCCGCGGCCCCAGGGCGCCCCATCGCGCGCGCCAGCCCGCCCCGGGCCGCGGGGGGTCTGGGGCTTTTTTTTTCCTCCCCCCTCACCCCACCCCGCCCCCTCCCTGAAACCCGATGCCGCGCTCCCCCGCGGCCACGCCCCCCTCGGAGCGGCGTTTCCGGCCGCGCCGCCCCCGACGCCGCCTCCTCGGCCCCCCGAGCGGGCGGGCGAGGGGGGCGGGACGCGCGGCTCCGGGAACGCGGCGGCCCCGGGCCCCGGGCCCCGGCCAGGCCTGCTTGGCAGCTGGCGGCGTCGCTCTCGAGGATTTGGGGTTTCGCAAGCGGCCGACCTCGATGATTTCATTCAGTCCTAACGGTTCGCCAAGGCCCGGAAGGCGGGACCGCGTTCCAGGAAGGATCGCCTCGTTTTCTGAACTTCGGACCTTTTTTGTTTGTTTGTTTTTCTCCCGAGGGAAATCGGGACAGAACTTCGCTCACCCGCCCCCCCCCCAGAGCCTCCCGCCGTGCATTCCTTGCCCCCCAAGTTGAAGGATGCACGTTTTCGAATGTTGGAAACGTTCTTTTAGCCCTGAGCTTTTTGTGCCTTTTTGTTAGTTAAACTTCCATCGAAGTTTTGCGCGGGGCCGGAGAGTTAGTTACTATTTTTGTGGGCGAAGGCGCTTTCCTTTGCGCGCTGGGTACCGGGGTTCGATCAAGGCACCCCCTGTGGTCCTCTTGAGTACCACCAGGTATTCCCCGACAGTAGAGCTACACAGCCAACCTCCAGATTACTGTGTCTGAACACATTACACTAATCTGTAATAGTCACATTGGTGGGGGAAGCCGCACCCAAAGGTGCCCCAGGGATCAGAGATGCTCCCGGACTCCCCGCAGTGCCGCGCCTGATGGGGTAGAGGAGCTGGTGCTTCAACCCCTGGTGCCATCTCCTCAGCCCTAGACATTTAACAAAGAAAGACTTATTTGGGAGGCCACACCTAGCCGTGCTCAGGGCTTCCTACTGGTTCTGTGCTCAGGGGGATATACGTGGTGTTGAGGATCAAACTTCGTCCACAGGCAAGGCAAGCACTCTGACCGCTCTACTTTATCTCTGGCCCCTTGATGCTTTTTTTTTTTTCTTAATTATTTGATTTGTTCTTTCTTTGGGAGCCACGTCCGGTGATGCTCAGGATTTACTCCTGGCTCTGTGTGCAGGGATCACTTGGGGGGGGCGGGGGAGGGACCATATGCGGTGCAAGGATCGACCTTGGGCTAGCAGGATGCAAAGGAAAGCACTCTACCAGGTGTGCTATTGTTCTGCGCTCCCTCCTCCCCCATTGATCAATTTCTGAGTCTTGTTAGAATACTTTTTGTTTTTATTTGTTTCCGGGGGTTGTGGGGGAAGACAGGTGCAGGGATATTCAGGGCTGATTCTGGGCTCTGCTGGGAGGTAGCAGACTTAAGCTGTGCTGGGGATCTAACCTGGATAATGCCTTACACCAGTACTATCTCTCCTGCCCCTGGCTATTTGTTTTTAAAGTCTTCCATTTTTTGCTTGATGCCATTGAAAGCCTGAGTGCCAAGTATTGTTATGGGCATATTGCAGGCTTATAATCTTCCCCAACAATTGGAATTGGGACCCAGAGATAATAAAGGAGGTTAAGGCCTTGTACTCAATCAGCCCCCGGGTTGGATTCCTTGCATCCCATATGGTGTCCAGAGCACAGTCAGGAGAGATTCCTGAGTGTAAAACCAGGAGTAACCGCCTAGCACCACCGGGAGTTACCAAAAACAAACCAATTGGAATCTTCCAAAAATAATTCTGTAGAATCAGAAAGAGAGGGACAGACATAGAAAGATTGCATTCATCTGGGGAACATAAAGTAACAAAATCGGAGACTAACACCCAAGAATAGCCGAGATAAGTACCAGGAGGTTCACTCCACGGCTTGGAGGCCAGCTGCACATGCTAAGGGAAAGGGCATCTCAGATAGAGAAGGAGCACCAAATAAAGGGTGTTGGGAAGATCCTCCCAGATGGGAGATGCATGCAGAAAGTAGCTATAGACTATAGAGCTATTGCCTCGCAATGCCTCTTTTGCAAACCAGCACCCAAAAGGACAGAGAGAGAACAAAGGAATGCCCTGCCACAAAGGCAGGGGGAGATGGAGGGGTGGGAGGGATACTGGGATCAGTGGTGTTGGAGAATGGGCACTGGTGGAGAAATGGGTACTTGATCATTGTATAACTGAAACCCAAGCACAAAAATTTGTAAGTCTACATACAACTGTACCTCATGGTGTTTCACTAATAAAAATTAAATAAATAATTTTGTAATTATGCCCATTTTACAAGAGGCGGTATCTTGGAAATATTAAATCTCAAATAAGGATAATAAGCTCTCAGATCCCTTCCCTTATTTTGTCCCTCTCCCAACCCCGCCCCCACAACCCCACCCCCATCCTTTCCGGTGGCTTACATTTCTTTGAGGACTTTGCTACTGAACTGTGGATCAAGGATTATTTGCATCAGATTCTCCAGAAAACCTTAAGATGCAGGTTCTCATTGCACTGGGCATTTCTCCTCAGCCCCCTTAGCTCAACTGGTACTTTGGAAACATTAGTAAAATGTGGAGGTTAGAGAGATAGTTCAGTGGGCTGAGAGCATACATTACATGTGGGAGCCTTTGGTTGTATCTTGACACTTCATGGTTCCCTTGCACCAAGTTTTGAGTAGCCCCTGTGCATACAACCAAACAACAAAACCAACCCAAATAAAATGTGAATGTGGTGAGAGGTTTAATATCACATTTTGTCACTTTTACCCTCTTTTTGGATTTTGGGTCACACTCAGCTGTTCTCAGGGCTACTTGTGGCTCTGCACTCAGAGATTACTTCTAGCGATGCTTGGGAGACCATATATGGTGCTGGGAATTGCATCTGTATCAGAGGCATACAGGGCAGGAGCCTTAACCCCATACCCTCTCAGGCTCTTTTTTTTTTTTTTAAAAAAAAAACATCTATAGATATTTCCATTTCAGGATCCTTCACTGATCTCTTTAATGAAGCACAGTTGGATTGTGGAGTCAGGACCCAGCATACATCTGTTTCAAATTTCTGCCTTGTCACAATGGCCTACTGAGCTGTTTGTGGCCTTATTTTGCTCATCGATAACAAAGGGATACTTTAATCAACCCTCAGGACAAATATGCTGGTTGAAGGAGATACCCATGTGAAATAGCTTCGTCCACTCTGTCTTGCCAGGGAAGGTTCTTCCTTTCTGCCTGTGTTGGATTCTTTATTTCCCATGGCTTCCACTTTGGGGTCCCTGTGGGTTCTTGGCTTGAGTCCTTTCTCTTCATCCCAGTTCCAGACTTTGGTTTCAGGGAGGCCAACATTTCCAGCTCAGTCCAACAGGCAGAGCATTTACTGTGCACACAGTTTACTTGGATTTGATCTCTGGCACCCCATATGGTCCCCAAGTCCCACTAGGAGTAATCTCTAAGTGCTGAACCAAGGATAAACCCTGGGCACTTCTAGGTGTGACCTCAAAACAAAAAATTTTCTTTGTCCAACTCCAGCTATCTGGACCTTCACTTTACAGCCTCTGATGTTTTTCTTCATCCCTTCCCAGCCACACATTCCCATGATCCTATCCAGATTACTACCAGAAACATCAACGATTCACAGCTTCACACATTCCACTCTTCTTTTTGTGTGTCTGCTCCAGTCTATCCAAGAGGAGGGTATTTATAAAACCAAACAGAAGGTTTTTTTTTTTTTAAATAATCCCTTCCTTCCTTTTCTCCTGTCCCCGACTCTTCTGCCCAGACTATGGACCAGTCACATCTCTTCAAGGATGGAGCAGATACCTTAAATAGGAAGTTATTCCTATGGACCAAAGGGCACACAGTTCTCTCTGAAGAATGGTCACTATCTCACCAGCTGATGACTCTTCTCTGTAAGGGACAGCTCACATGTCCCTCCCTCCCTCTCTCCCTCCCTCCCTTCCTCTCTCTCTCCCTCCCTCTCTTAGTCTGTGTTCTGGGGCTGCTTTGTGGCTCCTGGGATTGAACCAAGGTGGATCTCAGGCATCAGATCTTCTCATTTTCTTTTGTTTTTCTCCTGGTGAGGCTGGAGCGATAGCACAGCGGGTAGGGCGTCTGCCTTGCACGCAGCCAACTTGGCCAACCCCAGTTCGATTCCTCCGCCCCTCTCGGAGAGCCCGGCAAGCTACCGAGAGTATCTCGCCCGCACGGCAGAGCCCGGCAAGCTCCCCGTGACGTATTCGATATGCCAGACACAGTAACAACAAAGTCTCCAATGGAGACGTTACTGGGCCCGCTCGAGCAAATCGATGATCAACGGGAGGGCCTTTACTTTACTTACTTTCTTCTGGGGGCGGGGTGGGGGGAGGGCACACCCAGCAGTGCTTAGGATTTATGCCATGCTCTGCACTTTGGAATCTCCCCTCCCTGGTGGTGTTGGGGGGGGGGGGATCTGTTTGGTGCCAGAGATGGAACCCAGATAGTGCTCTAACACTGTTCTATCACTCTAGCCACAGATTTCCCCATTTCTAAAGAGAAGATTTGGGCCCTCATTTCTTTTTACCCCCATTTCCTTCCCCTGAGTGTTGTTTTGATGACTCAGTCGTCCAGACTGTGGCGCTCACATGTTTTAGCTCTGGTGCTCCCTGGGAGGAATCGCACATTAGGTTGTGATGCTTGCACACTTGCCTGAGTCACTCTTCAGGGGTTGCACTCCTGTTGATGGTGGTGTCCGCAGACAATCTGCTTGGAGTGCTCCCCATGGTGCTCACATGTGTGCCCACCAGAGAGCTGCATAGGGATCGCAGACAGCAGAGCTGCCCGGATGATGCTTTGCGCATGAGTGACAACCAAGGATGGAACTCTCAGCCTTCATCTTTCTTCCAAGATTGGCCACTGCGCTATTGCCTGGGCTCTGAAATCTCAGAAACGTTTGAGTTGATTTTGGAAATATTTTGCTTTTTGAT